TTTTTTTCAGTTCAATTCAAATCGCAGTATGAACACACCAGAATTTGAACCTCCACTGGTAATAAAGGCATAAGCAGATTCCTACTTCACTGCAAAGGACAAGATGAATCACCATAAATATAAAACATGACAATGTTAACATTTTTATTATCTTTCAGTGATGTGTGGCTGAGGGCCACAGCCAGGTCTACCCTGAAGACTCTTTCAAATAGAACAAAAATTAGAAGACCTAAAGGAAGGACACCTGACCCTGACAATACTGGTTTAAGGATAATCTCAAGTCATCCTAGTAATGAAACAATAAATTAATTTTTAATTGGTTGTCCTTTGAACACAGCAATCCCAATGTAAAACATTCATAAAGAACCATTTTTAATATATATATATAATTAATATTTTAAATTGTGTGTGGCAAAAGCTGGCTCTTCTGAATAGTTGGAAGGTGCACCAGCTATCATCATCATGCCTGGTGCAAGCCACATGCCTTAACTTATTCACTCTTGACCTATGCAATGCTGCTGGAGTTATATTCCCCGGATGATCTCTTGTTCTACATTCACCAAAACCAATAGCTCATGTTTAACACATCACTAACAAACCATTAATGCTGCCATTAATGTTTATTGAAATGAAAGTTCAGTCAGTTTGCACTATATTATTGGAGGTGCTGTCCTTTCGATGAGACATTAAACTAAGGTCCCACCTGTCTCATCAAGTGCACATTAAACTTCCCATGGCACTAGTTAAAAAGAGAAGGAATTTCTACTGGTGTCCTGGCTAACAATCCACTAGGAATGGCCATTCACTGCACAACTGTTAGTGGGACATTCACTTCAAAACTGCCCCAATCATTCCCTGCAAATACAGTCACCACACTTCACAGTTTGAAGAAAGGTCCTGTGAAGCACTTTGAGACATTTCGACAACATAACACTGCATCAAACATAAAAATTAAATTAAACAAACTGAACTCATCTCAAAACATCCGCAAATCCCAAGCTTAGCAATCGCAACAGATATCTTACCCAGTTTGTAGTAATATAAACTTATAGTCTCCCACTCACCTTTTCTCTGACTTTCATCTAACCTTCCCTGTTGGCTTTTACCCTCCAACCTGACATATCTATTTGTTACACCTGTGCCCTGCCCTGCTCAACTTCACTCCAATCCCTTAAAGGGGTTATCCACTTAAAAAAAAGGCTTCTGTGGGCCACCTTTTCACACATGGTAATATATCATTCAATTTCAATGTAAATCTTAAAAAAAATGAGCAGCCATGTTGCTCCGACATGTAAGAGCTCACAACTGATGATGATCCATCAATTCACTTACAGTATATTCTGTGAAGCTCTTTGAGACATCTCAAAGGCATGATAAGGTGCTACATCAAATGTAAGAATGATTATTATCTAGAGGAGGACAGAGGCACTGTAGAAAACCAATTCAACCAGGACTTTCCTGTGGTACAGGAATGAATCCCTGTAGAATCTAGGAAAGGTATCCTGACTCATAATGGCTAGCTGGTGCTTTGACCTCATTATTTCTTTCCAGTAAATTGTTGTGTAAGTATTTAAAATTCCTGCTCCTCGAGATGTGGTTTCAGGGCGTTTTGTGTTATCTGCCTTTTCCCTGCATTTGCTCTCAGTAGAAACTTCAGAGTTGTCCATTACCAAAGGTCAAGTGGGCCAATTCGACTGTTAAACATGTCGTTCACAATTTGCATTATTAGATTTTATGTTTCTTAGTTGGTGTTAAATTACTATGAGACAAAATGGAAAATGGCCATCTAATAATCTGGAATGAAGGATATTTAACAAGAACATAGTTAGTGTGAAAATTGCCTTAAAACTAAGAGATAGAATAATTCCATCCAAAAACTACAGGTAGACAGTGTTTTCTCCAGCAAGACTTCAAGAGATCAACCTTATTAACCCATTAAAGTGAGGTCATGTCTGGCTATTCAGGTGGACGTTAAAGATCCCATGGCACCACTTGAGAGGAGAAGGGAGTTTCTCTCTCCTGGTGTCCCGGCCAACAATCCCCCAGATAAAATAATTGATTCACTTTATGGCTGTTTCAAATGAGCTGCAGTGTCCCATAGAGCTGCAGTGACTGCACTTTACAATAAATCCTGTCAAGTGCTTTGAGAAATCCACCTTACGAGAAAGGTGCTTTGCCAAATGCAGGGATTATTTTGTATTTTATAATTAAATATGTTCTCCTTTCAGAAGTCAATTCTTGTGACATTTCATCATCGAACATTTAATTATATAACAATGGAACAAATTCTACTTTGCATCTTTCAGTACCTGAAGTACTTTGATTCCTGTCAGTAGGGTTAATAATTAATAAATGTTTGGGACATTGTTTTGAGCATGGCTGCTTTCTTAACTGCTGTACAAAGAACAAATTCAAAATGAAGATTATTGTGTGAGATTATGGAGCCTTACAACTAGAATCAGTTCAACTATTCGCACCTGAATCAGAGAGCTGCATACAGTATTGAATTGCAGCATAGCCTAATCTTTGTAACCTAATGAAAGTTTTTTTTCATGCATTGTAAATACTTTTCTCACAGTAAATATAGTCTATCATTTACGTACTCAGTATTGGAATAAGTTTTAAGTAAATCAGAGGTGCCGTCCTTTAATCGAGATGTTAAATCGCAATCCCATCTGCCTGTTCTGGTGGATGTTAGAGATTGCATAGCACAATCTGGAAAGAGAAGGGAATTTCTCCACCCAGTGTTCTGGCCAACATTCACTTCATGGCTGTTTGTGGGACATTGCTGTGTGCAAATTAACTGCTGTGTTTGACCACAAATACAGTCATGACACTAATATCAAATATAAGGATTATTATTATGATTTTAAGGTACACAATTATCCTCTCTATCTGGGAAACTACACCGTACATTCACATTTAGTGGGAGGGTGGGTTGAACCATTCTGTTCTGAAGTCTTGCATGAAGTTTGTTCATTGAATTCTCATGTAATTCTATGCGGATTATCTAAATTGCCCTCCTGCCGCTAACATTATCCATTCCATTCAGCATTTTAAAGACCCTGATCATATCTCCTCTCGATCGTCCCTCTTCTTAGCTTGAGGCCTTAAAGGATTTCTACTGTGAAGTGCAGAGATGTGCACTAAAAGTGAATGCTTACTTGGTACCATTAGGTTGTGCTAGGGAGCAGTGAAATAGCCTAATGGGAGCAACGACTTTTAGACACAGTGGGAGCTAAAATGCGATTTCTGCAACAGGATTCTAAAATAATTTGTAAATATTGATAAGCAATTAACCAGTGACTGTATGTATGCCTGATCCTGTGGGGACTTAACTCCGACATGCCTGGAGGGGGATTGAGTTGGAATACACTTGTTACCATTGAGATAGCCTTTTTTTGTTGTTGAAAATATGTGTTTATTTCTGAATATAATATTTAGAGCCAAAACAAAGCCAAAACAAACACAAAATCTTCTGTTACAATTTTTTCCTTTTCTCCCGATACAAAAAATATTCTGTTGCTTACGGTGCATTCCTTCAACCCGCGTCGGCTGCGCGCACGTTTTTTTTAAGACGCTCCCCTTAACACAGTCGGGAGTCATCCCTGTTTGCACCACATCCTTGTGCGCGCCCGCGCACACCCTGATAAGGCGCGCTCGCTGATTTCGGAAGACACCCCGATGTACACCTTACGGGCACGTGTTTACGTACGTACAATTTTTGGGACGCTCTTTTCGGGTCAGATTGGGGTGCGCTGGTGGGCTACCCGGTGGGTGCGGCCCTGAGTGGGTTGTGCCAGAACGGCTCCTGCTGGGGGTCAGGCCCCATCTGGCCTTTGCCATGGTTGAGCCGAACTTCAGCTTGTCCCTCAGTTATACAGTCCCTGATCCTAGCGTGCGCGAGCCTGAGGCAGCCTCTCACCGTCCCCTGGTTCTGCCAGAAGAACAACAACAACAAGATTCCATTTATAGAGCGCCTTTCACGTCGGGAGGACGTCCCAAGGTGCTGCGACCCGAAAAGAAACACCTGGTTTTGGGTGGACCAAAGTGCCTCCTTTTCCGAGTTTATGATCCTCCAGCCGCACTCGATGTGGGTTTCGCTGTGAGTTCCCAGGAAGAGACCGTACAGCACCGAGTGCCGAACCCACGAGAGAATCCATTTCACCGTTTCCAAACTGCCTTTGCGAAACAACACTCTAGGAAGAGGTGGTCCACGGTCTCCAGGCCTCTGCAGCCGGCCCGGGGGCAACGCGCTGACTGGCCCAGACCCTGACCGTGCATGAAAGTCATGAGGGGGAGGGTCCCTTTTATCGCCAGCCACGCCATGTCCTGATGGTTGTTTCGACCGCCTGCCGCGTGGACCACTCGGTGATTGCGCGGGGATCTGGGATGGTGTTCTTCAGGAATTTCTCAACATAGGATAGGTGGTTTAGCACGCTCCAACTGTGTGGAATGTTTCGAGTCAGTTTCTGCCAGACCCGCCCTTCTTAGCACCGGGTAAACAGAGACCCAAAGGGGGGTTTTTCCCTGTGAAAACCGTCCGAGCATGTTTCATTAGTCAGGATAACAAACGTGACAGAACACTTCAGACCTTTGCACACAGTATCACCAGAGGCTAGGGTGGACCAAACCAGATCTGAATATTGAGCACAAAATAAAGGCCCTTAAGGACTTGATGGAATCTAATTCAGAATTATATGAATCTACACCTACTTGTAAGCTAATTTTATTTGTCTCCCTTTTTATATCTCTGCCCCTACACTCTGGAACTCCATCCCACAGTCCCTTTGCCTCACTTCCTCCCTTACCTTTTTCAAGGCCGGTCTCAAGACCCTTCTCTTCGACCGCGTCTTTGGTCGCCCTCCCACCTCTCTGCCTTCCCTCACCCCTATACCACCCCTCCCCCATGCTCGGGCCCCAACACCTGACTATTCAGGCTTTGGGGCATCCTCCCGACGTAAAAGGCGCTCTATAAATGTAATTTTGTTGTTGTTTTATTATTATTACAAACTCTACAGTACAACTCACTGCAACCCTAACACTCCCCAATCATTTTACTACAACTGTACGAATCCTTGGGTGTTTGATGGCTTTTGAAATCCGTCCACAGCAGCCTAAAACATGTTAAATAAAAACAGAAAAACATCCACTTCAGCAGGAGCAAAGTAAACCCTCAGGGTAATTGATGTGCAATCACGTGGTGTTTTTTGAGTGTCCAAGTTAGAAGCTTGCTCTGCCTGTTGTGCAAGCTTCTTGGAAAGGAGAAGGTTTACTGTTACCATACACTGCACAGCACAGAGGAGAATCCCTGATCATGCACCTTGTGCGTGGCTGTGTGGATGATAATGCAAGTCAGCCTATCAGAAATGGAGCTCAGCTGCATGTTCCCACATCATCTTGGAGCACGGTAATGAATCTCAGAAGAACACAGAGTGAGTGACTCATCCGCGTGGGTTGGTCCATCTCTACTGGCTGAACAGAAACTGAGACTAAACATCAGTCATCCCTACAAATGGTGTCGCATATCTCATGTTTCTGAATCGTCCTTAGGCTGTAAAGGGCTTGGAAGCAACTATTGTCGGATATTTGGCTTTAATATTCCAAACCTACAACAGGGACGAGACAGATTAAAGCATGGCAGAGGTGGTTCACAGTAGAATCTAAAACATTTACAAATACAATGGAACATGAGTTACTGGAATCATTTAAAAAGCAGCTTGGTGCGTGCTATGATGAGGGGGGCGGGGGAGAGGGAAGGGGTGGGGGGATGCATGTTCTGGAAGTATGAGATTGGATGGATTGAAGGGCTTTCTTTATCCAAACCATTCTTATAAATAATATAATAATAATTTACTATAAAATAATAATATAATATAGATAATATAATAACATAATCTTGTGATGTTGTGACAAATAATGGGGTGCAAGGACATATAGTTTGACAGCAAATTCAAGAGGTGCTAGGATAGCTATTTGGTAAAGAAATGAGGTACTAATCATAGAACAAAGTAGGGCAATTCAGTGCTGTGATATGCTCCAGTGCCTGAAGGGTTCTTTATAAATGCAAGTTGTTGTTGTTGATAATTTTGGCGGGGGTGGAGGTGGGGGAACCAGATACAATTTCTTTTCCAGTCCTCACATCCTATGTTTCTATGTTCTCAAGTACTGTCAAGATATATTTGGTATAGAATTAGACCTGTTTCTCACAAATGTCCTGTAAATTACATCTTTCGAATCTAATAGTCATTGTGCCTGTGCATTTCCAGTAAAATTGGTGGATTTTTGCAAAACTTTGAATACATATCGCAACTGGTTGTTTTAGACTCTTTCTCCCTTTCCTTGTTTAGGATATAAAAATCCATTCAATTGCTAAAATCCTTCTGGTTTCAATGGTAAGAACACAATGGAGTGAAATATTCCTTGCAACTAAGTATAGAAACTGAATTTAAGTGATTCAAATGGGATTCCTTTGTTTTGCACTTGGCAACAAAAGGAATTTCACTCCAGATATTCTTATCATTTTATAATAACCATAATACAAATTTCTGCATTTGACATTTGCTTGATGTTTTGACCTCCCTTAGTATCAAATACCAGTTGGACAAACACTTCGCTAGTTATTATAAGTGTACTTTTCACAGCTTTATAAATAAGGTGTATGGCTAATTTTTTTTTGTTTCGCAAAAAAAGGACTTGCGCTCCAATGATGGGAAAGTTGCTATTTGTAACACTTTGCTCTGTATTTTTGATTACATGGGGTGAAAAAAAACATGATTAAATGCTTGTCATGAAGATGGTACCACTTTATATTATACCAGCTGGGAGTTTGGTTAGTGCAGTGCTTCAGCATGCTGCTCTTTTACCTCTGGAGCCGAGGTTTCAGCAAATTTGCAATTAAATCAATGAAACCCGTTTGTGAATATCGCATTTAAGACTCCAGCATAGCGTTAGGAATAGCAGGGCGAAACCTTGGGCAAGTTTCCTTACTCCACACGCCTGATAATAATCCCTCAAGAAAAAAAATAAAACAATAATAAATTGGTCACTTGAATCCACGACTGTTTGTGGGACACTGCTGTGCACAATTGGCTGCCGCGTTTTGCCCACAAATATACTCCAATTCACTTTTCAATATATTCTGTGAAGCACTTGGAGAAGTCTAGACGACGTGAAAAATGTTATATCAAATGCAAGGATTATTATTACAGATGAAATACAATGTATCATACATGTTGAAAACAGTATGACACATTTTGGATTATTGGCCCAAAGAGCTCATTGTAAACAATCAGAGGTGTTGTTTAGGATTATATTTCTGCAAAATGAAACACTTTACCATTGCCGTTGCAAGTTAATACCGTGGCAGGAAATGATGATTGCTCACAGTACATCTGGTCAATTATGATTTCTATTCAGGCTGAAAGAGATAAAGCATGGATAATGATGGGAATAAAGCAAAAACATGATATTATCATCTAATTTGTTAGGTTATAAGGATTATGTTTTCAGACAACTTTCAGATAAATATAAGTCACATAGTATTTCATCTCCGTAATCAGAAGGGAAAAACAAATGCATTTTATTTATTAAATGCTCCCTTGTTTCAAAGAAATATATTTATGAAGACGTTTGTTAGTTTTAAAAGTTGCAGTTACTTCATCACTATGTTTTGGGTTATTGAGATTGAGTGGGAGAAAATGCAGTCTTGATTCATAAACAGAAATTCCAAAATGCCCGGGTTATTTATGTACTATCATTTATTATTTTGTGGTTTTGTGGGGAAATGAATCATAGAAAGAGTTTTAAAAATATAAGCACATAGACAATCACATATCTAACTTTGCTTGCCAAATTGATGTCTAATCCTAGGTAACATAATGGTTATGCTTTGATTGCTTTATTTTCCTTGTGCATGAAAATACTGTATGTGCTGTAATTAAAAATAGATTTAATCGTATCCATCTATAGTGGTGCAAACTCAGCCACACGTTACTCTCCAATTCAATCCATATCAGGTTGGTAAATGTACTGTACCGCTCAGTGACAGTACAAAGTCCTGGAAATTTCCAATAGTATCAAAAGATAAGTCTTATCTTAAATGCGGTGTCCATGCCAACAATCCCTCTAATAGAATTGGTCATTCACTTTATGGTTGTTTTATTACCATGTGTCAATGGGCTGCCACTTTCACCTATGAATACAGTCACTACACTTTACAATATATTCTGTGACGTACTTTGAGACATCCTCCTGACGTGAAAGATGCTACACCAAATGCAAATAATAATTATTTCTCTCGTTGACAAAGCAAAAAAACATTAGTGCATTTGAGAGACAAAGTGATCCTTCCATGTGGGAGAAGGGACAAAAGGGGACCAGGTGAGGGGAATAGGATGAATGCAGGATTATGTGGAGTATAAACACCAGCATGGAATAGTTGAGCCAAATAACCTGTTTCCATGCCGTATTGCTCTATGTAACTGTTATGTTTGGGGGTGCTCGAGTAGATTCCCATTTACAATTGACAGACATGCGCATGATACAATTGTGCTTTAGTAAGTGCCGCCAACAAAGCACTGCGTAATGCGGTGCATTGAAAACAATGGAAACATATACTGAACAATACAGCAATGTACTGTTCCGTAAATGGCAAACTACAAAACAGATTATTGCTACATTTTACATACACTGCACCTTCCCCCTTTCAATCAAATCTTATGCACTGGTGTGGAATGGAGAGAAGGGTAGTAATATGGGTAGGAAATGTTAACTTGATGTGTAGCTCAATATAAATTGATCGAGCAGATGGGAATGGATGTGAGACAGTACTGACACTGGTAAACACAGCAGCTGCTGATGTCCCGAAGCAGTCTGATTCCAAGAAATAGCATTACCTTTTAGCACTGTCCCTTTAAACAAAGTAATGGGTCTGATTTGCTTGTAATTAATGGCAGTTCCAATGCCAAATTCTGCCGTCAAAAAAAAACTACTTTTTTTTAAAAAGGGACCAGCCATTATTAGAAACACATTTGCTTTGAGTAAAGTCAACATCAATTTTGAACTGATACCATTAAACATTGTTTCACAACTTTCACATTGTTCACGTGACATTACAGAACTGGTTAACTTGCGTTCTTTTTATAGCTGTGGTTTAACAATGTTGATGTAGTGCTACCACCACATGCCACAAGTCTCGGATTACAAGAGTTTCAGTATTGAGCACTTGATATTGCAGTAACTCATCATATTCCAACTATATCGCAACACATCCACCTAGCTGTGCACAAACTATGTTTTACTGGCCCACCAGCACATCAGAATGTAGTTCGAATACTTTTAATCACACTGTTTCTCTTTCTCTCTACTTGAGGGTTACTTCAGAATGTTAACTTGAATCATAAGAGTCAAAGCTTTATCGCACACAAGCAGATAATTCTGGGGCCAGCAGTTTTGAAATATTTGCTTAACGGATGAGTCAACACAAGAGTGCCGAATTTGAAAACTTTTATAATTTTGGTGTTTGGACTGGGGAAGCACAGTATGACTCATAAGAGCTTCTGAACTGAAGAAAATTCACAATCACACCGACTATGAGTATTTCACAATGATTTGGTTCACAACCTGAAGGTAAATTGCGGTGGAGCCAGGTTGCTAAAACTACCCAAAAAAGATGGCACATCGATTCACTGCTACTGTAGAAATGCTGTCAGCACAAATCAATTTGAGATCCACTCAAACGTTCTCTTAAAAGTTCTCTTGAGGAGTTTAAGGAACCATTTATTAATGTTATTAAACAGTCCGTCACATAATTCAGCTAATATGAAAAATCTGAAACAAATCATTTTTCATGATCTTATCCTTGAAACTATAGGTAATGATATGAGATTGTGCACAATTCCGTTTTCCACAGTTCATCAAAAAGTCTCAGAAGTCTTCATAATCAGAATTTAATAATCAGTTTTTTTTAAGCACCAGATTACTATTAAGGTGCACATATTATTATAGAATGATTATATGCTAATGGACTGTTAGAATGGCTGGGAGTTTAGTGGCATATTTATACACAGTGCACAGCAAATCCAATATATGTTTCATTCATATATTTGTTGAGTGGTTTCATGCTAATAACATAACGAGTTAAAACGGTTTAAATCAGAGCTTCTTTGTTCTCCATGGACCCATTCTCAGTAGGAAGTACTCACAAGTCTGCTATAAAGTAAAATAGATGCAATTTGAAAGCAATTTAGTAAAATGCCGAGATTTGAAAGATCAACACTGAAGACTAAGCAAATTTCAAACTTGTGATATTTTTGCTACCTATTGCTGCCTGGAAAATGACACATTGCTTTCTGTTTCGAACACGTTCTCCCCGTCTGAGAACATCCTTAATTGTTTTAACTTGACAGAAATAATCCCTGATATAAGATATACAACAAACTATTAATTCCATCTAACTTCTGTAAAAATCTTATATCAATCTTTGCCAAATGCTGCAAACAAAGTTATTCTGATGTGGATGTAGAAGGTTCTTCTGTGAACCCACAGCCTCTGTCTCAGAGGTGAGAGTGTTACCAACTTAGCAAGACTGACATATTGATCCCATCCTTCCAGTACCGTATTTCTTCCTACGAAAACACTCAAGCTGTTTCTTAACTGAGGCTTTTCTGTAGCCTTTTTCATAGTCTCTTGCATCCTTCCTTGATGATCCATTCCATCAGTTAATTACCCTCTGTATCAAAGTAATAACCTTGAGAGGTCTCGGTTTCTGGTCAAATGAACTTGTGAAAACAAACCATCTGAGCCTTTGTTTGCTATGGAACAATAATTCTTGTGATGCTATGTTATGTAGGAGACCACTAATGCTGCTAGATATCAGTTTGGAACATTTCCAGCAGTGCTTATTTTCAAACCATGAATCACAGAGGTAGGTTAAAGCATTTTCAATGGACCTTAACATTCCCGACGTCATATCCTGGAATTTGTGACGTGGGTGAATTCATCAAAACTTGGGACTATGCCACAGCTAGATTTTCTTTTTTCATTGCTGAACAAAAATAATCAAACTTGACGTGTTTATGAAAGTAAATCAGTAACAAGTTGCTAAATACTGATGAATTTTTTTGTGGGGATTAATCAGTTTTTAAGTGATTATGACTGCATTTGCTGTATATGTTTTCTTAGCTCTTAGCATGCCTGTTACCTTGGAAAATAACCAGTTATTTTTACAAGCATCTACTGACACTCAATCGCTCTGGGACACTGGCCTGCCCGAGGGAGCTATATAAATGTAAGTTGTTGTTGTTGCTGTTGTACACAATGTAGCAACAAACTTTTCGTTTATCAAAGGTCTGCTTGACTTCATAATATTCATCAAATTATAAATATCCAAACAGGATCAGGTTCAGTTCAACTAGGATCAAAGCTCCTATTATTTGGCAAATATGCAATGATGAGTTTCAGCTGAAATAACTACTCCTGCTAGTAACCAGAAATACGACTGAAGCCAATTTCAATTTGATGCCATGCACCTCCGATCATGGCAGCAGCTACTCTCTGTGACTCAGATCACTATAAGCGACTCGTGTTAATGAATTGCCGCATGTTCAACCACCACCGACTCCCAAAAATAAAGCCTACAGTTTGTCCTTTTGATAAAACTTGCCTAGTTAAGATGAAGGTCTGGGATTTTAACCACGATCGAATAATCAACAATCATTAGCTGCAGATGAGAGCATTGCAGGGGTCCCTCACTTTGTGGCAGTGAAGATTGTACCAGTTTCATATAATCTGCATCAGAGAATATACATATTTGTAAAACTGCAGGAGATAGTACAGCATACTCAGGCGTGTATCACGATATTACCAATTTTGATTTATTTCCTGCTTACAAACCAGTCTGAAGTACTAAGAACATGAGAAAAGGGAAAAATGATGAGTCAGGATCATTATATGGCTCATCAATCAGGCAGATGGTTTTGTTTCCTTGTTGATTGAAATCAAAGAAGTGTTAAAACTCTGTTGTCTTAAAAAACGATAATGAATCGGTTGAAAATAGGAAAAAACGGGAGAAGACATCTGATACTCAGGTGCACCACTTGTTTTCTACTATTATTATTATTATTATTATGTCAGCAAAGATTGCAAATATACATTTTAAATGTTGTATGCATCCACATGATAAAAGAAGCATTAAAGGATCTGTTAGGTACATTGAAAAAATTGTCTTAGCAGTCATTAATGTAGTTGACTTTTGGCCACAAGATGGACAGCTTTGTTTATTACTGCTGTTAGAAGCTGTTAGAAACTTTATCTGGTAAGTATTTCTGTCCTGCCACAGTGAAATGAAAGTAGCTGCAACACAAATACCATTTGCTTCGACGTGCATTTCAGAACATTTCCCTAGTTCAAGCATTTCTGCAGCATTGAATAATTCCTCATTTTTTTCATGTCAGGAGGAAACCTCGAAGTGCTTCACAGCATTTACTATAAATGTAGTGATTGTGTATTTTGTTGGCAAACACAGCAGCCAATTTGCGCACAGAAATAAACCACAAACAGCCATAAAGTGAATAACAAATTTTACCTGTGGGAATATCGATCGGGATAGCAGGAGAAACTTCCTTCACTTTCCAAATATGCGATCTTGGTTTAATGCCTCATCGAAGGATGTTATGTCCAATAATACACCCACTGCACTGGAGTATCAGCCAATGGTTATCCTCGCATTCAGTCTATCACAGTGGAAAATCACCCAAACCAATTTACAGAAAATCTGGTGAAGCGCTTTGGGATGTATCAGATGCAAGTATTATCATGGACTATCCTTGCAGATTCTTCCACTATCTACAATATTTCCACCTTACACTCAATATTCAAAACGCTCTGTATCTCTCAATGTATCTTCTATTTCTCAAACAGCTAAACTATCCGATGTTTCTGGGCTTAGTCATCTCTCTTCCAGTCTAACTGCAATGCAATCTTAAGTTAGTCGGTTGGCCTGTCATTTCTTGCCTCTCTCCATACTGATTGCTCTGACCTTTTCAGTCATCTTTTTCTGTTTTTACATTACTGATCAACCTTCCTTCGCTACTCCTAGAAATTCTATCTGCCTCGTCTGTTTCACAGCAGCAGAAATATAGGGATCATGACTTGTTCATGACCCTGGCAAGTAGAGCTATCCCCAAGCTCAAGACAACAACAAATAGGCATGAAACTGCAGCGTAATAGAAATTGAACTCATATCAACAGCGAACATCTGAAGCGGCAAGGTAGTGTGTTACACGTGGAGCCTACTTTTCTTAACTTGTTTTACAATTAACTACAACCAACTGGGTCAATAGAAAAGTGCGGAAATATTTGCCAAAAATTCACTAGCACCACTAGTTTAGTATGTTTAAATCGAAGATGACTTTTTAACCAATTAAAGTATGTTGGCTACCTAATAGCTTCAAACATTTTGATCTGTTACCTTTAATTAGGATAATCATACATTTTTGAGCACACATATATAGTTACAATCAAATTGTTCAACATCTGGATATTCAGTAAACGTAGTTGATCAAAACTTTTGTGTTACGATACTTGGGATAGAATTGTATTCTTATATTGCCATTGCTATCAGAAGGATCAAAACAGAAGAAATACTTCTTTCATGTGGTAGCCTTTAGAATCTGCAGCTCAAGTTCATTTGCTAACAAAATACACACAATTAGTACGTTTTTCCACAAATTGTTTATTGAGATAAAAGAACCTAATCGAAAGTAAATACAAAATACAGTACTGTAGACTGCTCTTTACAACATAACGTTCAAAGCATTTTTTGGAAAAGTCAAATTTGTTAAGTTTTAACTGGCATCAAATTGAATATAGGATACTTAGCTTATAGTTATACTTTCACATTCAAGTAATAATTGTGCTTCAAATTTCTCATTCCACGTATAATGCTCCTCATTTCTTAGCAGCTAACAAAATAAGCAAAGGCCACTTTAAATGACATTAGCCAAGACTGGCAATCATACTCAGTTTTGTCTGGAAAAAAGTAATAAATTATTGTTGATGTTGACTGCAAAATATTTAGTGACATTACAAAAGGCAAGTGTAATATAAATTTAAGACATTCTGCATTGATACATGAAGGAACATTTAAATGCAAGATTTCTGTGCAAAAAACATACCACCAGAAATTCACAATATTCAAGAGTAAAGATCATCTCCCTTCCTTTCCTGACAACACTTGGACCAGGATATGGTTTGCAGATGCCCACCTTGCCCAAGTGGCTAGTATTGATACACTCATATTGACAGAAAGTGTCTTGATTTGTCCACATATGGATATACCTGCACCTCCAACACAGGATCACAGAATAGCAATCAGATTTAGGGGGAGATCAGTTAAATCAGCACAAGCCAGAGATCAAACTTGCAGCTAAAAAACACACGACTGATGAAGATCCCTGAATATTTCTATTGTGAGTTTCCATTTCCTGATTGGCCAAGAAGGCAATTAGTGCGCTATTAATTAAGTAAACTGTCACGCTATGATAACATCTGAAAATGGAAGGCGAAGAAAGAGCACCAAGATTCTTGAGCAGTTAAAAGTCCCTTTACATTTTTTTTGCAGGCAAAACAAAAGTGCACTAATTTTATACCCTGAGAAACACATATATTGCACCACTAAACACCAAATCTGACTATAAATTATAATTCCAGAAGCAGAATTTTGTTGCATGCTAACAAAAGAGAAGCAATTAAGTGGCAAATAGGGAGTTACAATTATTCCCTTTAACGGCATCCTGCTATAGTGCATTTAACAGATACTTTAATACAAGTGCATTTGTCACTCACAAAAGTGCTTTGAAAATATGTGACCCTCCATACAGCAATTTATGCACTTGTAAAATTCAGACAACCAGTCACTCTTCTTTTATGTGAAGTACAGTTCCAGCTTATGAGGCCAACCTGAATATTAAGGTAATTTGTTCCAATCCTCAACAGACTCCAGGTAATGACAAGAGAATATTTAGAATTTCAAATATTTGAACATTTTCTTTTTATTGTCTGAATTTACCAAGTTGATCATTAACTTGAGGGAACCACTTTGAATTTTGCTTTCCGTTTCAGTTTCAACCATTTTTTGTTTGTTACTAACTGCAATTGCTAACATGTTTAACCCACTCCAAAAAATGAAACAAATGCAATGTTTCAATAGAGACAATACATTCAAATTGGATTTTTTGCACTTACAGTGAACACATTCATTTTTTCTCCCCTTAAATGAAAGTAATGTTTTTCAAACAAAAAACAAACTTAGTTAGAAAACATCTTTGATGGCCAGCATTCATCAAAATATGCATAGTATACCCTTTAAGGAGGAATAAAACTAATTTATGGGCTGGAAGTGAACAATTCCACTCTTTGGCAAGTTACATAGTCTTGGCAATTCTTTCTCTAGATATTTTTTCAGTAATCAAAATATCATTGGCAGTAATAAATTTGTAGACTACAGAATTCTACCCTCTTTGAAAGGACAATATGTATCAGCGTTTTGTTCAAGAGAGTGCATAGCATCAAATGTAAACATGAATCCTCAGTTATTTTCTCCTGATCTTTGGAGATATTAAGCCACTAGCACGAGGATGTTTTCATCTTAAAATAATGCTCTTAGTGTTGTTTTTTTTTGCCCATTATTATACCTACAACTGGAACTTGTGATCACAAACGTCCCTTTAATTTAGCATTTTGGTTAACAAAAGCGTAATCTTTTGCTCCACTCGTTGAACAGTAGAGGTAAAGTTTAGCCTTGATATCAGATTCAGATTTTGGAGTTTTGCCTTTTTACTTGTCTATAGTGTGTGTTTACACTGGAATTTTCTATTTCATTCCCACTCTTCTCAAGGCAAAAACTTTCCTCCTAACCATTCACAAAACTCTGGTCTGCAGAATGGCTCCTTCTCATTCCAAGCAATTTTTGCTTGTATGATCCAGTCTCCTTTTTGTTCAATCCCTCCACAGGCTCTCGTTCAATTGGTTTCAAGCCTTCTCTTTTCACCATCACTTCACAGCTCTCAATACTCCAACAATCTTCACTTTGGATCAACGAAATTGGAGTGTAAACTATTTATGAAAAGCACAATATGCGTTGAACGATCCGCATCAAATTTCAAATGTCACTTCACTGTGCATGTCGTCTGTGGTTGTAGGGTAGGGGTCAATCTATTTGTAGCAGAAAAAAAGTCACATTTATTTTAAAATCCTAGCAAATCTGCACAATAACAGATTCAGCGTATACAACCCAATTAAATCAAAGCATTGTTTAGTCATAATTTAACTCATGTTGAATCATTGTTTAACTAGTATTGCAGAAGGAGTTTGCTTTCCCCACAAAAATTTAACACATAAAAACAAATTGTGCTCAAACCTCTGAGTAAAGTGGTGGAGGCTGAAATCGGAATTCCTGAATGTAAGCAAAGATGGGGCCCCCAAATTCACACTCCAGATTGTCAGGTTGTGTAAAATATGGAATTGGTCTTGCAAGTTCTTCTTCAGAGACAATATCAGCGTAGTTAGGTGGAGCTGTGGAAAGAACAAAAATTGTGCAAATTGTAAAACCGGAACTCGCCACCAAGTGCTATTATCAGACAAAAGAAACTATAAACAAGATTTTTTTTAAAAAAGTTGATATAATTCATTTGGATCCCTTTTTTGCAAAGGGTACTTTTTATATAAACACAAGTTAAGACATGGTTGTCTCTTGACTCCTGGGCAAGTCTGCTACCACTGAACCAGGCTGATTTTTCCTCTAAATCAGCCTGACTCAATGGTAGCACACTCACCTCCGAGTCACACGATGTGGGTTCAGTCCCCATGTTGGAACTTGGAATCACATGCATTATTGCATGAAAGGATTATTATTATCATCATCAATTATATTTCTAGTTGGAATCACAAGCACCAAATTCTGGAACAGCAACTGGATATTTATCACAGCAACAACAACAACTTGGATTTATATAGCGCCCTCCACGCCGGACGGCGTCTCGGAGCGCTTCACAGTAACAAATCCCGGGGCCGAGCGAGGAAGGTGACCTAAGGCGTGGTCGAAAAGAAAGGTCTTCAGAAGGGACCTGAAAGTAGGAAGAGAAGGGGCAAGGCGAAGGGAATGAGGAAGGGAATTCCAGAGCCTCGGGGCATAATGGCCAACCTAGTACACGATTCGCTTCTGGAATCCAACATAATCCACTTCCGGATCAGTGTTTCGGCAAGTAAGCATGACACTTTCAATTACTGTCAGAAAACTGCTACAATCCCATTTCAGGCCATGATAATCATAAATCATAAAGAGGAAAACAACACTACCTTCAGGATGTTCAGGCAAGGCAAACTGAAGCCAGGTCAGGTCCATACTGAACTGGCTGCAAATGCTAGATGTTCTGCTCCCAAAGCTGTTATATGGGATTGTACCAATCACTAAGGGAAGCTCCAGCATTAGCCTCTTAGCACCTGGAATGTGTACATACACCTGTAAAACCACAACAAAATTGTTAAAATATACCAAACTGAAAATATTATGGATACACATTCACCCTTTTCAAAATTTTGAAATACAAATTTGTGTCACTTATATTTTTAAGACGAAAGGGCAAAGTGATTTTTTTTATATATAGAAGGACTAAAAACGTCTTCAGCACCATTTTTAAAATTTAACAAAACATCTCATTAGCTCGTACCTCAGTGCATAATTGATACTTACAGCTAAAGAATATTCCACCCTGATTACAGAACAGTCCAGGATGGATGGAGTTACTGGTGGAATCTTGAGGGCTTTTCCATTCCATGAGTCTGTACTACCAGAAGCAATGTGGTTCCCACGAACATTAGCAATCATTTGTTTGAAAGTCCTGGTTTTCTCATTTACCAAATAAGTCTGAGTTTGATAAATAGCAGCTTTTGGAACAATAAGGCGGGAAGAACAATTCTCAAACTCTGCATAAATTGGTATCGCTTCACCTGTTGAAAGATAATCCCGTGTTTACATATCTTAAAGACTACTTTTAAAAAAAAACTCAAAATTTTAGACATTGATTTAACTCACCGTTGCAAAACCCCCTTCTTTCTATTTTGGCATTCACAGATATTGGTCCAGAGGTAAAAAACCAGCAACTCACTGTCTTCTCTCGGTTTTTCGAAATGGGAGACTGAAAAGAAACAAAAAAAAGTAAATGGGTAAAATGCCACAAGGAATGGTGAAATATACTTTAGAACTTCCAAGTTAAAGTAGTTGGAATTATGGTCAAATTTATTATGACATCAACAGGTTTAAAGCCCTAGGATTGGTCAAATCCGTAAGCAAAATAAACTTAAATAGGTTTAAAACATATTTGCTAAAGTTGTTACATTTACAGGACCCATTAAAGCTTGACTAATTTTTTTATAGGAATATTTTAGGAGCCAGATATATACAGTACAAAGTAAAACTAGAAGTAATAAGCGGTGAAAGGGGAAAATAATGAATTTTATAATTAACTTTTAGTAGTAAATTCCTCAAACTTCAATTACTTGAAGGTCAGTCAACACCACCAACTTCCCAAAACAAAATAAACACATCATAGAGGAAAGTACATTGAGGAACATTCCAACCAATTATGGTTTAATATTTGCAAAGGATAGCTCAGAAATGAATTGCTGGTATCTATCCAGCTATTCCTTCTATGGTGCATGTGATAAACTGACATGGATACTACATCATGTATGTTCTCTTGTGTCTCACAAACAGTCATGAAGTGAAGTCAGTCACATAGTCTTAACAATGTTGATAGTTTGGCATTGGAGAACAAAATAAATCCACTTACCAGCAGAGCTGGTGCATTAACATCAATATGACCCGTCACATTGAATTCTCTCTTTACACTTAGGCTTGGTACACTGGGTTGATCCACGATAGCAGTCACCCAGTATTGAACACTACCATACTTTCCATTGAAGGATGTGACCAAAGGTCTGAAATAGAAACGAATGTGTTACTCAAAGAATAATTTCATTTTTAAAAAAATTAAATAAATAATGAGCACACTGATTAGTTTCTTACTCTTGTGGAAGTTGAAATCTGAATGGAAATTCATGTTTGCCAGGTTGCAATGTGACAAAACACTCTTCGCCATCTGCAAAAAAAAAACCCAATAAATATTTGCAATTAATTCAACTTTATTGTATTTTCAATGCACTAAAGATTCTCCTTCCTGTGCGAAAACTATCCATTGCATACATGACTTTAAAAATTCAAAGTCTTGAGATTTTTCACAAATAACCATGTTAAACTGAGGTAAAATAAATAAATTATCAAAACCCTTAAGAGTTGGTACAAGTTTCTCCCCAATCCTTGACTCTGTTTAATTAGGGTTCAGGTTTAACAGAGAACAAATGGATAAGAATAGTGCCAGAATTATGCTTTAATACATACATGTTAATGAAGAAGAAACTGTCAATGCCAATAAACTTCCTCTTTTAATCATGAACTTCATCCATATATTTTTTCTTGACTTGCCTACCTACCTAAGGGGTTCCCCACTCCACTATTTCAATGTTGATGAAAGGCTATAATAATAACACTCCTTGTATTTGATATAGCGCCTTATCACACGGTTGAAACATCTCAAAGCTCCAGGAAATACTGTAAAGTGTGCCGACAAATGTATTTCGCAAGCAAAATGCCCCCAAACCTTTACCTATTTTTCTGTTTCGGATAGGTGAATGAAACCAATGGATGCCCAACATTTTCAGTTTCTTTTTCACTTTACATCTCCAGAATTCATCTTACATCCCTTAATATGAACATTATTTTTTTTTCTCTTTTGTTCTAAGATCTCATCAAAAACCATTTGGATCTTCCAAGACCTTTTATATCAAGAGCACTTGCGCTTATCAGTGTGCTTGCACGCAGAGAGCTAAGATACCATAAGAGAGCGGGGGGGGGGGGGGGGGGGGGGAGGGGGAGAGAGAGCTAGAGAGAATTGTCTGAGGTGCCATCTACCTGTTCAGGTACACATTAAAGATCACAAGATACCTCTTGGAAAGGTAAGGGCACAATCCCCCCCCCAGGTGCATTCAGTCCATGGCTGTTAATGGTGGGCTGGTGTATGTGTGTGTGGGGAGGGTATAGTGTGTGTGGGGGGTGTATACTGTGTGTGGGGGGAGAGTGTACAGTCTGTGTGTGTGTGGGGGTTGTAGTGTTTGTGTGGGGGGGTGTAGTGTGTGTATGTGGGGGGGTGTATCGTGTGTGTGTGTGTGTGTGTGTGTGTGTGTGTGTGTGAGGGGGTGTACAGTGTGTGTGGGGCGGTCTATAGTGTGTGTGAGAGGGGGTGAACAGTGTGTGTGTGGGGGGGGTGTATAGTGTGTGTGTGGGGGGGGTGTACAGGGGGTGTGTGTGTGGGGTGTATAGTGTGTGTGTGGGGGGAGTATAGTGTGTGTGTGGGGGGGGGGTGTACAGTGTGTGTGTGTGGGGTACAGTGTGTGTGGGGGGTACAGTGTGTGTGTGTGGGGTACAGTGTGTGTGGGGGGTACAGTGTGTGTGGGGGGGGGGGTACAGTGTGTGTGGGGGGGGTGTATAGTGTGTGTGTGTGTGTGTGTGGGGGGGGTGTATAGTGTGTGTGTGGTGTATAGTGTGTGTGTGGGGGGTGTACAGTGTGGTTGTGTGTGGGGGGGGTGTACAGTGTGTGTGTGGGGGCTGTATGGTGTATAGTGTGTGTGTGTGTGGGGGGGTGTGTATAGTGTGTGTGTGTGGGGGGGGGGGTATTGTACAGTGTGTGTGTGGGGGGTACAGTGTGTGTGTGGGGGGGGTGTATAGTGTGTGTGTGGGGGGTGTACAGTGTGGTTGTGTGTGGGGGGGGTGTACAGTGTGGTTGTGTGTGGGGGGGGTGTACTGTGTGGTTGTGTGTGGGGGGTACAGTGTGTGTGTGGGGGGTACAGTGTGTGTGTGTGTGGGGGGGGGGTCGGAGCACCCACCTGCTGCCGTTGGCTGCCACAGGCTCTGCCGCTGGTGGACATACACCACCTCGTCCCTGTAGCTGCGCGCTGACGCAGGCGCGGCGGCGGCGGGGCTCTCGCACCAGTGGACGCGGGCGCAGCCCCTCGCCTCCGCCCTCAGACCCTTCACCTTCAGCGCCTCGTTCAGCTCCAGCAGCACCTGACCGGACAGGGTCTCGCCGCTCGAGTAGCTGCTCTTCGGCTCGTCGTCGAAGACGACGCCGAAGGTCTTCACCGCCCGCACCACCATGTCGGTGGGTTATCGTGAGGGGAGGGCGGGAGAGGAGAGAGAGAGAGAGAGAGAGACGGTGTCTATCTTATTCGATGCGCTTTTGGGGCCGTGTCTCTCGAGGGAAAAGCGTCGGACACGAGTGGATTCCGGGACGAAACGTCGACATTTGAGTCCGGTTTCGTGTGAACCGCGCGGGGTATTCCCTCGGGTGCTGCCGGTGGCGGCTCCTCAACCTCACTGACTGGACTTGACTTGACTCACCGCCACGCCCCCGCCCCCCCCTCCTCCCTCAGCTTATGTCGTTCACTATACTACGGCGCAACCTAACCTGGCGGCGAAGGAGGGGGGGGCGGGACAAGGCTCGCGGTTTGCACGTCCGATTGGTCCGCTCTCACCCGATCACGCCCCCCGTGCACCGCTCCGGACTTTCCGATTGGCTCCTCTGGGCGGAGCGCAAAAGCGGGGGGGGGGGGGAGGGGGGGGTCAGGTCAGGTCAGGTGAGGTTGGCGCCGCGCGCGCGCGCGCGCGCGCGCGCGCGCGCGCGCGCGCGCGGGTGGTGGATGCTCCGGCGCCTGATCGGCGTCCGGCAGCCAATGGGCGAGGAGCGAGCGCACGTGAACACACGCGGCGGCCGTTGGAGAGCGGCGCGTGCTCAGCGGGAATGCTCAGCGCTGGCAGGTTGGACGGGTTCGAGCCCAATCGGGCGTTTTTTTTTCGGGGGGGGTGTTTTTTTTTATTGCGCGCCAGCTTTGGGCGGGGTGCGCAAAATTAATTTTAATGTTTATTTGTGGTGGGGTGGGTGGGGGGGGTGGAGTGTTTAGTTTCAAAACCTGGATCGGTCACTGGAATTGCTTACCCCTCCCCTCCACTTTGGGGGCAACTTGATGAGCATTGGGGCTACTTTTGGGCTACTCCCCGAGGCCTTTGGGCTACCCACTAGTTTAATGTCTGGCAGGTCCTCTTGAGGATGATCTTCGCCTGACTTTCTCCATCTCACACCGTGTCGTGTCGCTCCCGCTAAACTTTAGGGTGACCCTATTTTTGTAAACCGACCCACGCGCGCGCACACATGGATATATATATATATATCTCTCTCTCTCATTGAACTCGCTCAATGATCTTGGGAGCCACTGGGGAAGCCGGTCGGGTTTCATGGCTGGTATTCCCTCTGATGGGCGATCCCGTGCCTGCGCCGGCTCTTCGACAAGAGCTGTCCAAACCAATCCCACTCCCCTCGCCCCCCTTCGCCCCTCCGCCCCTCCGCCCCGCGAGCGTGTCCTCCCCCGAATAATTATCTACCACTGAGGATTGTACCGTTGTCGCTCGGTTGGTTGGTCAACTTCGAGACCGGACAAATTTGGCCTCAGGGACGCGATAACCTCATTGTCCCTGGAAATCGGGGATGCGCAGTCAGCCCGACTGCAAAAAAAAGAAAGGAAGGAGCCATGAAGGATGCGACAAAGGGTTAGGACGCCTGGTCATCCTCAGCCATGACAGTCGCAGCAGAGCTGCGAGGACCGACGTCAGAAAGAAATGCCTCCTGTTTGGCTAAGGTCGAGTGTCGTATCTGTTCTTATCCACAAAAAAAAACACTTCTCTATCCATTACTCCTCGCGCTATGCCGTTCCTGGCAGTGAGCTCCGCCTGCGAAGCCCGAAACGCTGACTGTCCAGCGCCTTGGGACGTCCTCCTGACGTGAAAGGCGCTGTACAAATGTAATGTCGTTGCTGAAGTCTTGGATCGGAGTAGCTGCCCGTTGCTCTGAGCTTCCCAGTGATTTATTCATGGGAGTAATACTTACCGCTGGGAGCACTGGGAATGCCAGGCTCCAGCTCAGCCCCTCTCTTGGCTGGGATCGGTATTGCCACACTGCCCATTCTGAGGAGATCGATTAACCCTCATTTGGAGGAGTAGAGAAGGTGGAACAAGGAGCTACCCAGGCTCAGACTGGGCTTGCCCGGGTCGAACAGAAGATCCAGACATTTTCACTTGCTCGAGTGAACGGGTAGACAGACCCCAGTGTGACATCTTATTCGAAGGATGGCACCTCTGACGGATCAGATTTTCATTTCTTAAGTACCACATTGTAGTTAGCACCACATTGATAACTGAAATACAATTTGTACAACAGATTTAAATATATTTCATTCCTCGTTTTAAATTATATATTAGAAAATATGAATATTTAAATAGACACAAAGGTGTGAGTTCCTGCTTTTTCACGTCTGTTGTTTTTCCTTTTGTTTCACAGATGAGCAAGGATATTGATGATGATATGAAAATGATAAACGGACATAATGGAACAGAAAAGAAAGACAATCCTTGATAACTGGAAACTAGAAATGAATAATTAATCTATTAATATTTGCCATTCATATAAGATTACATGTACTGTACATACCAACATTTTGAATGCAAGTGGAAACCTGTGCAATTTGATAATCCCATGTTGCTTACTTCATCAAAAATCAGGTAAAAATATTAAATCAGTTCATCTGAACTTAACACATTAATAATTTTTAAAGATTTCTAATTACATTGATATATGGTTAACACATCATACTATAATTTTGGTGGACAAAATGACAAAAAGCATCCTCACCTACAAGGCCATTCACGGCCTTGCTCCCTCCTACCTCTCCAACCTACTATCCCCTTACCTACCTGCCCGTACCCTCCCCTCCGTTCCTCTGGCTCCGGTCTGCTCCACGTCCCCCGCCCCAATCGCCCTACCATCGGTGGTCGGGCTTTCAGCCTCTCAGCCCCTAGGCTCTGGAACTCTATCCCCCAGTGCCTTCGCCGCTTCCTCCCTTTCCTCCTTCAAGGCCGGTCTCAAAACCTTTCTCTTTGACCGAGCCTTCAGCTCCCCTCTCGACTCTTCCCCCTCCTCGCTCCCTCCCTTCCCTCCCCTCACCCTGACCATTTCCCCCCTCCTCGCTCCCTCCCTTCCCTCCCCTCACCCTGACCATTTCCCCCTGCTCGGGTCATGACCCAACTGTGCAGCGCCTTGGGACGTCCTCCTGACGTGAAAGGCGCTTTATAAATGGAATCTTCTTGTTGTTGTTGTAACATTTGCCCAGCTAAAAAGCTCTCCTTCAACATATTGCAGCATTTGAATGTATGGTTGTATATTCTGCTGACAAAAATCATAAATGTATGAATCCTTTATGAATTTACAGTATATAACTCCCCAAACAACAACAACAAGATTACATTTGTATAGCGCCTTTCACGTCGGGAGGACATCCCAAATTGAGCTTGCAAACATACAGTAAGTCAAGATAAAAAAAAATCTGTGGACTTCCTCAGGTATCATTAATAATGCTGATAACTGCTCTTCCAATATCCATGTGCTCAGTGTAAATCTTTTGTGCTTTTACTTTACAAATCCAATTTTTTTTAAGAAAACCTATGGGATCTATTTTGGGCTGTTGAGAATTTACATGTCAACTTACAACCTTGTAAGTTAGCAGTCCAGATGCTAATGCTACTTTTGGCAATATTAATGCCAGTTTGCATATTTCATTGTAAATTTAACACAACATGAAATATGTTATGCTGGTGGGTTAAAAACACTAATTAAGCGAATTACTGCAGGATGGGTGCAGATCCAATTTACTGAAATAACATACAAATTTTAGGTCACACTTGGGCCATACCCTATTATCCATGACCAGCATGAGCCAATAATACAGTACAATTAGCTTATTTTCACTGCAGTATTTACATGGAGGAAACAAACTATTGTAATTATAATTAGCGGCATATGTGTCTGAACATTCCAAAAACTGTAACCTTGAATCAAGAGGATGAAAAGGCAACACGAGGAGGTTTCAAATGTGGAAAGGGACGGAATAAGCTGGCACGGAGCGTGAGAAAAGACACAACATCCGAAATGGGAAAAATATGCCTCTTCAAGGACAGGATAAATATTACAAGTATATGTTAATGTGTACTGTAACACCCACATGCTTATCTTTATATTTCTGTTTTAAATAAATAAAATGTGTTTGCAGTTCCGGAGCAGTTCAAGTTCACTACTCAAAGCAATTGTGCCGTCCTAAATGATTTGTTGATTTCTAAAGCAGTAGCTGCTAAGCTTTGATGAATCAACAGTTCAAGAACCTGGTTTCTGGAACTCTACTCAGAAATATCTTCATATCTGTTAATAGACAATCTGTATTTTGTACAGACGTTTACAGTCACTTTTACTGTAAATATAGGCAAATGTGGCAGCTAATTTATGCACAGCAATGTCCCAGAAACAGGCATGAAGTGGATGACGTCTATATCTGGTGGCATTGTTGGCTAGGATGTTGTGAGAAACTCTGTTCCCTTTTTGAATAGTGTAATGCATATACAGACAGGATTCCTGTTCAACACCCTAATGGAAACACCTCTTGACAATGCAGCACTCCCATAGTGTTACCCAGGCACAAAAGCCTAAATTTTGATCTTAACTCCAAACATGGACTTTAACCCAAACCTTTTGAACCAGAGTTACTGTTTTAGCCAAGCTGACACTATTAATATTACAACAATTGTTGACATTATGCATGGTTAATCATTGTTAATCAAGGCAATGTATTAATTGAACATTAGAATTTTCAGTCTTTTGCCTGTCCATAAGTAGCTCAGTTTTTGGAAAACATCACCAATCGTGAGATTGAGTGATATGAAGTGTATAAATTGATAAATGCAAGCTAGCATTACAATTATAATTACTTGGTCAGTCAACAATTAAATATGTTCGGTTTTACGATTTTTTAGTGCAAACAACTCACATAGAATATTATGGTCCATGAAACAAATGCAAAGTAGATTAGCCGTTCAGGGACTGGACCTTGTTTTTGGCACCTCTCCATGGTTACGTGATGAGCCATGTGCTTTAACGTTATAGGAATATTAAATACTGTGACTGAAAAATAGCACACAAATCGTGCACATTGTTAAACTTGACTGATGAATTGACATTTTGAACCTCTACCAAAGTAGGTAAGTTATATTTATAATTTCATATTCTATTATTGCTA